CTCTCTCTCTCTCTCTCTCTCTCTCTCTCTCTCTCTCTTAGTACTTTTCACTCGGTTCTTCTCACCTAAATCATCTATGTGCGAGCCCCGACCCAAACATATCTAAACATTATATCAAGTTATTTCATTTCGTTTGCCTCAACTTGTGTTCATTTTGCTTAATTAATAAATTCATAGATTTTTTTTCCCTCATTTTCATATATCGTGAGTGTAAAATACCACCCGTGAATCGTCATCAGCTATTGACTAAAAAATTTCTTCCAATCAAACAAACATTTCGTTGCAATTAAGGGAGAAATATTTGATTGATTTTCATAATTTTTTGGTCCACGGTATGGAGTGACTCTAGTTATTATTTTTTCCCTTTCAATTTCTAGATTTGTCTCGTCTTCCACTCAATCTTTTTCTCTCTGTATATTTTCATATTTTCCATTCTTAAAGTTATGTTAAAGTACAATATTCTAAAACTTATACATAAACGAGTATGTATAACTGGGCTATCATGTCCTGGCTGAAGGAATGTGGGAAAACGCCGATTATCGTTTGCACAATTTTTTTCTTCATCAATTTAGTTTCAGCTTCGATGTCATTAAAATCGTCATATTATCTAAATTTAGGTTTACAAATTTATATCAGAATCAAAGACAATGGCGAGAAAACCTCCCCCACATGCCCTCTGCTGAACATAACACTAAGTATGTTACAAGAGGAGTCACAGTATCCTTTTCCCTCATGAATAATCCTCAGCCTTCTGAATTGTTTTTTTTTTTTGGTAAAATCTCTCCAACTCTATGGTTATTTGACCCTCGATATTCCTTTATCCTTTGTTTTACCAATAGGTACATGTACATAAATCATAATGTATGTACAAAATACGCAGGCAGCAAGTAACCACAGGATTAAATAGACGCTTTGTTTCTATCTATCATTCTTTGTAATACCCCTGTCTCGCTTATCATAACACACGCACATTCGTCTCATCGTTCATGACTGCTTCTCCCTCTTTTACCAAGATCGGTCGTTCCATTTCTATTCGAATCCAGCGAAAAAAGTGAGCACTCCCTCAATAATTTCGAATGGAAAATTCCAAAATCCCAATTCAATTGGAGAGAAAATTCACTAACGACGAGGCCCCCCCCACATTCTCTCCCTCCCATTCATCCAAAACAACGTGATAAATCATGCGTTCCTAATACTCATATTTTTTTGTTGTATCCCTTAATCAAACTACGTCTTATCCATTTTCATAATCTGCTGCTGGACTCTTTTACTGGCATTGTGTGCTGCCACAACGGGTTTACTCATCAACGATCCAAATGTACGATGCTGCTGATACTGATACTGCTGGGTAGTCGGATGAAATTGCAATTGCTGAATTTGTTGACGTTGTCTCGTAACAGGATCAGCGCTTCGTCTGTGATTTCTGCCCGTTATGAGAACAGCCATTTCGTCCCAGTAGTCCTTAACAGCGGCAAGACGCCGCCACAGATCATCATCCGTGACAGCGGCTGTTGTGTGATGATCGTCCGTGTCCTACGCTGCCTTGCTCTTATTCGTCTTGAAGCTGACCTGAAGTACTCGTGTGCCGAGATTATAGCCATTCAAACTCTGTATTGCAACAACGGCCTCCTCGTAATTCGTCATTGTTACGAAGCCAAAGCCCTTGCACTTGTTGGTCTGGAGATCGCGAATAACTTTGACCGATTGTACAGCACCAAATGGACCAAACAACTGCCAGAGCACATTCTCCTCGGTCTCGGGGGCGAGATTGTACACGAAGATGCACCAGCCACTGCCGTTCATTGCATTGCCCGGCAGCATTGAGTTTGCCAGTAAGTCTCCTGCCAGGGGACTGTACCTGCAACAATAGTCAAACATTTCACGTGATGTTAACGGAAACTTTGATTATTGTAGTTCCAGGTGTGATTTATCAGCGAGAACGGTAATAAAGGGGGTTTCAACTTATTTCGATCGTTAGTGGGAGACTACTGGGAGTTTCCGAAGGCCCGGGCTGTACTGTTTGATTTTTTTGGAATTCAAGAGTAGATGCATGTGAATTCTCAACGCTGTGATTTTTCAAAAAGATTGGGCGTTTTAGGAAGGGCGACCATTGATGTTTTAATTACGTTTAGAATCCTGAAATTGATCGGGGATATTAATCATTACATGGATTGAAGTATGGCTGAATTGAAAATTGAGATAGTTGCCTGGATATTCAAAATTTTCGATAATTCTCATTGCCATGTGGACCAATTGCCATTTCATTGAAAACTCCGGAATTCAGCTGATTTTTCAGCAACAAAATATATGAAAATCTCATATAAATGAGTTGTTTTAAAAATTTCAAATTTTTTTGTTTGAAATTTTCGGGGTAAATTGATTCCTTATACGTTTTTTTAATTGTAAGTCTCTCATACCGTACATATTGACTATATAATATGGATAAAAACGAAAAAGGAGTGCAAAAAAAATAATTTATTTTTCGTTTTCCCTGCAGATGCTGAAAATATTGAAAATAGTCCAGCGTCCTCAATATTTTGTTACAGTTTTTCTATCAAAATGTATCAAAAAATGTGTACAATAACAATTCCAAATTGGATTTTGCAAATTCAATCTCTAAATAGAAAATTTTGTTTTTGTTTAGATAAAAAATTGCATATTTCTCATATTTTTATTTGCAATTCTCGAAATAAATAACCCACATGATTATTCAAACAGAAACAAACTGGCTACTTAGAGATCATAATTGAAAATAATAATTCGTAATTGTAATTTTAAATGTTTTTCACTTAATTTTGTACATTTAATGAACACTTCATTCATGTTACGGCGAAAGTTTGGGGTGAAGCCCTTCCGAGGTCGGCGAGCGAAGCGAGCCAAGGGCGTAGCCCCCTAGGGTGAAAAAAAAACCTCTGTAGCTCAAAAATTGAGTACACTAAACTATCATTACCATCTTAAGCATCTGCGGGTCAAACGAACAATAAACCATAATTTATTTGCACTAATTCTTCATTTTTATCCACATATAATCGATCTTTAACGCATGAGACATCCCTGCAATACCCAGTGCCTTCTAAAACTCATTGTAATCTCCCCTTAATGCAGTGAAAATTGACACGGCACGTCAGGAATCCGGAAATACGTGGCAGGCACAAAACGCTTTGAAATTCAACCGACTGTCTTCTGCAAACTATTATTTTTAGCATCCACCGCCCCTTGAATATTTCCTTGACGTTTATGAAAGTGCGTTTCGAAATTCACGAGAGTTGAAGCCAAAAAACGAATGAGTAAAGCTGTGGAAATTTATTACTTGTAAGTAATTTATACCAATGTTACACAATTTTCTTTTCGGGGGCATTTTATTCATTACGACTATCAAGAGGCATGCAGATATTCACGGGAGAGTGGAATGTAGGCATTCGAATGTTATTTTACGTACCTACTTGACGTCACAAGCCGCGTTAAAAGAGGGCACATATTGGTGAGTACTCAGTACAAATTACAAGTGTAATGGCTTATTTTTATATTAAATTCTTTATTCTTAATTGAAGGCACGAGATGATAGAGACTAATGGTAGTGTATGTCCGTGTTATGTAATAAAACATTTTCAAATGATACGGACTGCGCGTTTGGTGAACATTGTTCATATTAAAGAAAGGGGGAAGAGCGAATTCATAAGGGGAATCAAATAAACATTGGAGCTGAGGTGAGCGAGAAAATTAGTTCTGCCGAAAAACTATATGTTCCAGGTGAGAATAGTCGATGGAGTGGAATAGATTTGCTTGAGGGAAATGCAAGATCTATCGCAAAAATTAAATTTTTGTCATGATCATCAGAAATATCCCTAAAAGGATTGAAATTATCAGAAAAACATATAGTTCACAGCACCACAATCATTTGATATGAGAGAATCCCGAGGAAATTAACGAGAAAAAAAAATATTATAAAAAAAAGTAAAATTATTTGCCTCGAAATGATTTAGTTTTGCCAATATCAGTTTTTGGGAAGAAAATTCACGTTTTCTCTTGAAATTAACATTCGTTCTGTGGAGATTATGAGTGTTTCCAGGAAAAATATATACATTAATCAATGACATTCACTTGATATAACCGAATCCTCACATGATTCTCTGTATAACTAATGTATTTAGTTAAAAATTCTCATGTTTTGATGAAAACTTTTTTCATTGTCTGCAATTAAATTGATTCAACATGACAAAATATCGCTCTCGTGGAACACAATGTTCTCAGTAGAACAAATTTTTTCAATCAGTCCAGAAAAACATCAAAATCGAAATGAGAAGGTATCAAAAAAGAATCGGGAAGCAAGAGAAGCCACAGTAATCAGGAGTACAGGGATTGGCGGGCGGAGGAAGCCTATGAACGCACGAGAAAATAGTATAACAAAAAAAAATACTGACCTCTGTAAGCCTTTGTTAATGGCAAGCATGGCCTTGCCAGTGCTAAAACAAAAAAGAAAAAAGAAAAACGTAAGAGAATAAATCATATGATTAAAAGCCGGGCCGAAAAGAAAAAAGATGAAGCAATATCTTTCGACTACAGTGCCTCATATATTTTCTTCATACTCGCTGTTAGCTGGGAATTATGAGTAAGCGGACGAGTGTGAGGACAGAGGATTTTTGGATGGAAAGAAAAAAAAATTGCGCAGAATATCATTTTTTTTTCCTAGTCTGTACCATGATAACTGTCATTCAGTTGATTGAGAGATGTTGATTAAAAATCTTTTGAATTTATATATGTTATGATGTGCACTGTGTTTTCGAAGTGAATCAACAATTTTTTTTTTCTAACGAATGTGTTTTCAGGATGATCGCTCGTACGCAAAAATATCCTGTTACGTGAAAAAACTTTGGCTCGTCTACGTCAGAGATTTCTCGAGATATTTAGCTCGAGGGTGCGAGTGATGGTTGCATTGGCAGGAATGCTGATGCTAGATTATGAGCTTTCATTTATTTATTATCTATACACTGTTGAAATTTTTTGGCTGAAATTTCTGGTACACTTTTAGCAAATTTGTAACACGTCACTGCGAAATTTCAAGATATTTCGCTATTCAAAACTCCAAATTTTATGGGAGAATCAATTAAAACTGTAAACTTCAGTTCAATTATTCTGTGAAAATTAATTCAAATCAGAGAAATTCAGGTAAATGTAGTCTTGAATTTCCAAATAATTGAAATTTCAGTGTAGTTTGGTACTGAATATTCATATTTTTATCGATAATTAAAAAAAATAAAACATTCTCGTCGTCCTGTTGGAATTTTTTCTAACAGTGTATTGTACTTCAAAATGAAGTAATATAGAATTTGATGAGCAATGGACAATGTACCACTTCTTTACGAGAAAATTGAGGCCTCGCCTGAACTATGTACGTTGTTCTTCAACTGAATGGGCGAGAAAATCAGTGGAAACTGTAAATTTCAGTTCAATTGTTCCATGAAAATTAATTGAAATCAGAGAAATTCAGGTAAATGTAGTCGTGAACTTCCAATTAACTGAAATTTAGCGTAATTTGGTACTGAACACCCATAATTCAAAAAACATCAAGAAATTCTCGTCTTCCAGCTGCGCAAAAATTAGGAATTTCCTTAAAGTGTGCCTGAAATCTGAAATCTCACAATTCTTTCATGAAATTTCGATGTTTCCTAACAGTCCATTGTATTTTAAAATGAAGTAATATAGAATTTGCTAAACAACGGATGTAACACTTCTTTACGAGAAAATTGAGGCCTCGACTTGAAAATGTACGTTATTCCTCAACTGGATGGACGAGAAAAGCAGGGATAGAAAAAGTACTTTGACCCTCAGTGTGAAAATGAGACAAGGTGAAGTATTTAAAGTTGTCTCCGAGTAGACGAGCAAGCTTTAACCGTCTCAATGGAACACAGGACCCAAATTAAGTTCCAAAATCACGAGAATTTAGTCTCCATGTATTGCATTATTATTCTCTCACAAGGAAAATAATGTTTTTTTTTCTTGGGTAGAGCGAGTAGAGGCGAGTAGGTACCTGGATAGTGGCGACAGTGGAATGTACCTGAAGCGGCCGGTTGGATGGTGGATGGGGCCGCCAAATCGACGACTCGCTTGTGGTGCCAAGTATGCTGCTATCGGTGGTATCGCCTTGTTGTTGTTGCTCGGGTTGTTGGCAAACTTGACGGTGATTGGTTCAGACGAGCCCTTCGGTATGGTTCCATTCAGCTCCTGGATGGCCCGTTCAGCTTCCACACGTTGATCGAATCGAATGAATCCGACACCTTTTGACAGTCCTGCCAAGTTCATCCCGCGGAAAACAATCGAGACGGACATATTTAAGATGAGGGTGGCGGAAGCGAGGTCTAATTAGTTCTGCTGATTCTTTTTCCATTTTTTTTTGTTCTTTAGCCGAGAAATTTGACTTGAACGAGATCAATTTTGGGAGAGGGACCGCGAAAGACAGTCAATTTGTCTTATCTTCAGCTATCGAAGGCTTTTGTCTTTAGTTTTAATATGGAAAAAGTTGGATATCCGTTAATCTCGATACGTTGTAGAAGTTTGTGGAAATTGGTACACCCGCACTGTTTTTATTGAGCATCTCTGTTGAAAAAAAGTTGGCTGGAAAAGGCAGAATTCCTCAAAAACATCCAGAGAAATGGTTTGTTTGAATTAAATAAATGGGTTTACTCAAATAGCTCGTAATAAAGCTCTTTTTCATCTTCTTTTTTATTCATGTTGAGTGGGAATAAAATGGGCGAAGAGTTTTTTCTTGATCCCAATGAAGACTTCATTAGTTAGAAATAAAATCATATTTTCGATGGCGAAGAGAACGAATTAATTAACATGTTAAATTCTTTAGTTGGAATTAATAAATTATCCATTTCAGGTGACTAAAATATTTGCAATGCCTAGGGTATTAATTTGCATTGCAATCAATGGAATGAAACCGTGAATAGTGTCATTTGATTCAAATGCGACATTTCTCTAAATGAAAGCTCCAACATTGCGGAGTATGATAGCCAACTACAGATGAGACAACGGAACATTAAAATTCATCGGGCTTCCTGACAATTTCTAAGGTATCTTAATCTTTCCCTCATTTTCTCATTCTCCTATTACAATTACCTCCGGCTGTTAACCCTGCAAGTTGACTATCAAATTCTTAACGTAAATGCACCCGAAGAGTCTACCAACTTCCACAGTGTCGCAATAAGTCCGGGAAAAACGGTGAAGCATGTCTACATCCGAGTTGTTGAATTAATAGTTTCGATTATTTAATGAAACAGTGACGACACGACGATAGGGTGTCCGAGCGAGTGGCTCGGTGCGCGCAATGATTCCGATCTCGCATAATATGAGAGATGCGGATAATTTTGGGTCTAGTGGGGGCTTTCATTCCCACAATTGATGATTTAAGGAGAAAGAAAAATGTATTGATGCCCGATGATATGAAAATAATTCAATGACTAACATAAATCTAGATTAAGAATAACCGATCAATGGTGGAATTAGGCACTAAAGGGATACATGTGTAGTTAAAGTTTGGGTTCCATTAATTACACTGTTAAAAATTCTGCACTGAAATTTCAGGTGCACTTGTTGGAAATTTTTATCACATTACAGTTCCTCTAAAATTTCTAAGAATTTCCTCACTTGAGATTCCAAAATTTATGGAAAAACTTGGGAAAATGTAAAGTCCAGTTCAATTTTTCCAAGAAAATTCATAGGAATTTGAGAAATTCAGGGTAATTTGGCACTTGATATCTATGTGCTAATTGAAAATTTTGGAAATTCATTGAATCTTCCGTGAAATCTGACATTCCACGATTTTTAATCCCCTAAATCTAATTTAATGCCACTCGCCTGTGAAATTACTAGGCAATTGTCCACGAAATTTCAATTTTTCTAACAGTGTATTCGATGAGGATGTCCGGGATTTCGGGGGAGAAAAAAGGGCGTAATCGTTCTGAATGTGCGTGTATGATTGGTTACTAGGCACGTTTTCTTTGACGCGCCATAAAAAAATAAAAAATAACGAACCCAAACATTTTCTTTTATCTAGGGTGAAAAAGAGAGGAAAAGAATCATTGATTTACGTACCGGGCAAATTGTCTCCGCCGCCAGTCACAAACTGTCGTACTAAACAGAAACGAAAAAAATCATATTCTCGTTAAAAATTATCGAACCAACGAGGATGCGTGTATTCGTCTCTGATTCATTGCTCTCAAAGTTTATTCTTCGTTCATTCAATCAAATTATAATGGAAATAAGTAGAATATTGTGAAAACTGTGGCCAGCGTTACCTTTTAAGTAAAAAAAAAATATCATAAAGAGGAAAAATATAAGAAAAAAAACCGAGGAGCCGAGAATCAGAGGCGATTTTTTTGTCGTAATTTTGATGTTCGTATGATAAATAAATTATAACTATTGTTTGTCCTTAAACATAAATTTATACTAGAGAAAATATATTCAAATATAAAAATTGCCAAACAATTGCAGTAGTAGTTATCGCCAATCCAAATAATATGTTTTGTTGAGTGCACTTCAAAGAAATCGTCGATTATCATATGGAGGCGAAGGCTGTGTTCTTCAGGAAATTACTGATGAAACAAATACAAATGGGCATAAGTCGAGGAATACAGAGTCGAAATTATCCGAAGGCAAATAAAATTTTAAACAGGGAAGAGTGTACGCAGTGTCTCAGTTGAGAGAAGAATAATGAATAAATAATAATTGAATAGTCACGAATTAGACAATTCTGTCACGATTATTTGGCATTCAAATGAGGGATTAACCGAGATCCATTCGATCTTTCATGAACACGATTTAAAATGAGAGGCGCACCGATCCACCCCTCCCATCTTGATGCCCGTATACCCTTTATTATCTTCACGGTTTAGAGGTACATCTCTTCAACAAAAGACGAATCTTTTCGTTGATTGTTCCGACCATCATTCTCCAATGAATTATCTCATGAAGGGGAATGCGGTCTTGACGTTGAGGAGAATAAATTCTGCATTGGTTATTAAACCCTAGAGCCTCGTGCCGTTTTGTTCGTCTTCAAAATACACAGGATCTTCAGGGAATTACTGATGGAATAAATACAAAAGGACATAACTCGAGGGATAATAAGAGTCGAAATCAACTGTACTTTGGTAACTGAAAAAGCAAATAAAATTTGAAATAGGAAAGAGTGTACGCAGTGTCTCAGTTGAGAAAAGAATAATGAATAAGTAATAATTGAAGTCACAAATTAGACAATTCTGTCACGATTACTTGGCATTTAGATAAGGGATTAACCGAGATCCTTTCGATCTTTCATGAACACGATTTAAAATGAGAGGCGCACCGATCCACCCCTCCCATCTTGATGTCCGTAAACGCTTTATCTTCACGGTTTAGAGGTCCATCTTTTCAACAAAAGACAAGTCTTTTCGTTGATTGTCTCGACCGTCATTCTGCATTGATTATTACACCTAGAGCCTCGCGCCATTTTTGTCCATCTTCAAGATACAGGTAACTGGAACACAGACTTACCCGTGATGTTGTCACACAGGATTCGTGACGTGATGATCCTTCCGTACGGACTGAAAAGATTTTCAAGGTCCTGCTGTGTCATGTTTTTTGGCAAACCGCTGACGTACAGATTGGCTCCTTTTATCGCTTCGCTGCTGGGTCTTGCATAGGAAACCTAGTTTTTTAATGAACTGTTAGAGAATAACTCGTTATACCACGATGCTTATGCATGATAATACAGGTATGCAGCTTGCCTTAATCGTCTTATTTTGTAGCCGAAGACCATTGAGGGTGTTGATAGCTTTCTCAGCATCCTCAGGTCGATGGTAGTTCACGAAACCGTAGCCAAGACTTTGGCCTGAAATGCCACAAGAGTCTGTCACATTTTCCACCAAAAATGTTACTCATTAAAACAATTTGCAATTGGATTGTTAACGTGACTTAATATTACGTTAATTATTATTAGATCGCCAGAAGTGCACTGTTAGGAATTCAACTTCGTAGAAACTTTAACACTTCTAAGAAATTTTCTCTACACAGTTTCACTGAAATTTCTAGGAATTTAGATATTGGAAGTTCAAAATTTTAGGGAAAAATTAAGGGAGACTCATCAATTTCACTTGAATTATTATATGGATATTGATAGGAATCACGTATATAGATTCTTGAATTTTTTATTTATTGAAAATTAATTCTCTTCGTGCTGCTTGAAAAATGGGAATTTCGGTGAATTTTTTAGTTAAACGGAAAGTTTCATTATTTATTTCATTATTTTGTGGAGTTTGATTTTAATTACTAGTCAACTGTCTATAGAATTACAATTTCCCCATCAACAGTGTAGTTCCCTTGAAATTCCAAGGAATTTTATCATGGAAAAATGAAATTTTTATATAAAAATAAATGGAAGCGATAAACTTCAGTTCAATAATTCCATAAAAATTTCTATAAATCAGAAAGATTCACGTAAATTGGAGTGACATCTGCAGTGACATCTGAAATTTCCTGATTTATTTCCTCCCAAGCCGAATCCAATGTCACTCTCCTAAAAAACCTAGTGAACTGTCCGCGAAATTTTCATTCTTTTCTAACAGTGCACGAGAGACGATTGAACGAAGATGCCGAGGCGCCGGGTGAGCTTGACAGATTGATAATTCCACTAGAATCACGTTTGGCACACGATCTCAATGCTTATTCACGCACGAGTTTAGAAATCATCTCAAAAAAACATCCGATTCATTTGAGGAATTCAAGGTTCTACAGTTATTGCCTGCAATTGCTCCCTACGTTGCTGAAACAGTGATTGATAAACCAAGTTTTCAAGGGAAAATGAGCCCAGCATTATCATATAGAACAACTATAAAGTAAGGAAGGCTTCGAATTCAACGCCCCCGCGTCTTTAGGACAAAAATAGAGTTGTGTTCACAAGCATAAGCACAGATTCACACACCTACAGAGTCACACACTCACATATGAATAAAAATCTGTGTGTAGTTGTTTTTTCTCTTCCTTCCTCGCTTATATTCTAAATGGAAAACCGACGGACGTGCACGTTGTGCGGTAATTTTACGACCTAGCCTGGCTTTGCGGATATGCCGGAATTTCGTCGCAAAACGTTGAATATTATATCAAAATTTATAAACAATAAATATACCAAATGATCAGTCGACACAAAATGAGCAGAATAATATCGTCAAACACCATGAGAACTCGTAATTTTGAATAAATGAATAGCATTTTTTCAGAAATAATAACATGACTTAGCAAAAGTAATTTTGATTTTCCGGTGATTTAAAAAAAAAAATTGTTTATCCTTACCAAAAGAAAATTGCCCCGGGGATAACGAATCTCCGGCAACCGACAAAGCTGTGGTGACCTCTATATTGATTGAGAAAAAAAAGGAAAAACAGATATAAAAAATGTGTCAATACGCTATTGTTGAGGTAGAGAATTAATTTAAGAACAGATATTAAAATGGAGTGATGCGTTTATGGAAATTAAACTAACAGAATAAACCAGCAGATTGAGAGGTCGCGTGTGCCAGCATTAAAATTATTTACCAATAAACCAGAAATCCAAAGATACACGACAACTTGGTAATCAAGGATTGCAAAAGGTCTCTTTGTATTTATACATTGAAACGATCGATTGAGTCTGACGTATTTGTGGAGGGTCGAGGACAATACAGAAATATCACGCATTAAACGGAGACGAAAGAAAACAAAAAATGTCACAGAAGGTAGGAATTCGAGAGGGAATGACGAAAAAAAAAATGATACACTTGAATAAGACGATTTCGTCGAACAAATGGTAAACAGAACTGGCGAGACGATGAACGGTGATGAGTATTTGTAAACACAGCCAAGGGTCTGGTTTTAAAATTCCACTGGCTGTCATCTTGAGCGGATTTCGGGGTGAGCAAAAAATATATGAAGAGATTGCGAGCGGATCCTGTACTGTGGCTTTAAAAAAATTGGAATTCCTACGTTATTCCGATTTAAAAAAAAAATGTCACATTACATTCAACGACACTTTGACACGAGCGAAAGGTAATTTCAAGCTTCAGTGGTGGCGATGCTCCGGAGAATATAGACCGCATGTTCGTTAGCGCTCACGTCTGCTGGTGATTGGCATTATGGCGTACCAACTAATCCCGAGTTGAAAATGAATTCTCTTTTCGTAACGTGGTGGCTCGCACGGAGATAAAGGACATGAAGATAATGAATTCTTTGCACGTAAATCGAGTGACAGGGATATGTTAGAGGGTAAAAAACTCACCAGTTACTTTGTCACGGATGAGCTTGCAGCTCTCGACCTCGCCAATACTCGAGAATAGCGAGCGTATCTCCTCCTGGGTCATGGTTTGTGGCAGATAATTGACGATGAGATTCGTCTTTGACTCCTCCTGGGAGGTTTGCCCGAGATTTGAGCCGCCATTCTGTTGCACAACCGTATCCATTCCATTCGCCATCATTGCACTAGTTTTGACAATCTTCGTCTAACTACGTACGAAATCTGTAAGCACAAAAGAGGAGGAATTATTAATCGGGGAAACGGGGCGAATGAGGGGGGAGAAAAAAGGGCTCCGAAATTCCACGCCGAGAGGGCTCATGACCCAAGGTCACTCCGAAATTGGAAAATTCGACTGGGTTGTTCCCCGCAGTTCAATAATTTCCCGACCAATTCCCATGTTTACTAGAATGAAAAAATGCAAATTTTGACATTTCAATTCGGATAACAAGAAAACGGTTGAAGCGATTTTGCTCAGAATCCAATCGAAATCGAATTACATGTGGATACATCGACTGTAATAAAAATAATCGAAACCCACCATTATTTTCGGTAAAATTGTTAAATTTGTGAAGTAAACTTATTTTTTAGATTTTTTCACGAGTTTTATGCGAGTAACTAACGAATCGCTGAGACGATTGTCTTCGTAACCTAATCAGTTCTAAGTGACATTAGCACGCATCGCTTGGAAAAAAAGTTCGAATGGGTTGTTGGTCGCTCGCTTCCATTGCGGGTGGGTTGAAGTGGATGTAACCCATTACGACTCGAAAAAAATTCAAAGAGAATTAGAATAACTTCCCGACTAATTCTCATTTTTCTGTTTATTAGAAAAAAAAAATGCAAATTTTGAAATTTCCATCCGGATACCAAGAAAATGGCTTAACCGATTTTGCTCAGAGTCCAATCGAAATCGAATTGGAGAATCCATCATTATTCTCGGTAAAATTATTGAATTTTCAAAGAAAACTCATTTTTTTCGATTTTTTTACGAATTTTATGAGAATTTTATCGAACCGTTAAGACGATCGTCTTCGTAATCTCATCAGTTCTAAGTCTCACTAACACGCATCGATTGAAATAAAATTTTTTTGAATCGGTTCATTTATTCAGAAGATATCGCTGGACAAAATTTTGGTCACATACGTACACATACAGACATGTCTTCAAAAACGTATCAAAATAATTCTAGAGGCCGCGAAATATGGAAAACTCATGGAAATTCCACATTCCATTTTCGGGGTCATTGCAATGCCTTCCTCCCTTCGGGTCGAAAAATTCATGTTGAATTCACCACCAGTGGTGCCTATCTCGTGAAGTATACGTGGAAGTACGCTATACAATCTAATTCTAATACTTCTAATAATAGAATTCATTCTATTCCTGCCTAAAGCCATAGTAAGGCCTATACACAGGCTATAAATGACGGAAAAATAATCCAATCTCATACGAGTTCCCTGAATTAACCCGGTCAATCGATGAGTGTCGTATCGACTGATGAGAAATTGTAATTATGACGATCCCGTCATTCGTATCTACGCTAATGTCCATTGAATGGAACGTCAAGTTGGAGTACCAAGGGGTACCAGAATCAAATATTGGAAGATGTTCTTAACTTCTCCCTGAGCCGCTCTGACATAACCAGTTTCGTTACACCAGAGATAAAACTGAATGCGAGCTACCCCATGGATCAAAGTTACAGGGGGGGGGGGGGATTTTCGTATGACGCTGGCAGAAGCTATGGTCTCCCCCTCACGCACTGGCTCAAGTCCCCTATTGTCAGAAAATCCGAAAGCCCTGGGTCAGTGACTGCCAACACGACCTGCCCTTGAAACTTTTGCACTCGCATTTTTATGTTTCGGGTATTTATCTTGTTTTTGGATAACAATCCGTTTTTTTTCCTTGAAAAAAATCACACCACCGAACAATTCTATTCAGCAATTTAAGAAAGGTCAGGGAATATCGCAGAAATAATTAAATTGATTAATATGGAGATGAGAACAATCATTAATCGTGTAAACTTCAATAATTAAGCTCTATCGGTGAACAAAATGCTTTAACTATGTAATTATTTGAATAAAAATAGCTTCGAGGACAAAATGATTTTTTTTGTCTTTTTTTTTCCATTCAACAAACAAATTTATCAGTTGCGGTCAGTTCAGGCTTGTAAAAAAAGGGAAAAAACTGGACTTTTGATGAAAACAAATGACCTATTTCATTGAAAAATCAATAAACCATTATCATTAAATTGAAATCGTAAAAAAAATATTGTGAAACATTAAAATTGTTCAAGAATGAATGGAATAAAAAACAATTGAGAGCCACTGAACCTCGTATGATACCGTGCGAGTTTAAAGGGGCGACGAACCCCGTCGGCAGCCATTTAAAATGGTCCTATGGGAGTGGGTTCAACCCCCCTCGCCATATACCGTGTCCAAAACTACTCATAAGCGCTATGTGCGTCCAGAGGGTATATACAAGGTAGGAAGAAGATATAAAGGGAGGGGAGAATTCGGGGGAGTCTGGCTAGGGTGGTTTTTCGAGGGAGAATGGGGCAGCGGGAGAGGGGGGGGGGGGCAAAGGAGGAAACATAGTCCCGGGTAGGTCGCGGGAGAGCACATACACAGCTGCCACATATATATCAGCCGGCACGAGCCCTCGCCTACGTTCCAATTTCTTTTTTCCAGGGGTTCCCTACGCTTTTTTTTCAACATAGTCACTCGTTCGTGTCTACGTTTCTCATTCTATTGACAACGTGTACGCATCAGCTGTCCCCATATGGACACCTTTCGACTCCAGGTTAAACCCTCATATCAGTCAGATGGTGGTTGCATGCTACTTCATCTACAATTTTTTTATTGTAACATATTTTCAAGGAAAAATAATGGGGAACTGCTCAAGGGGCCAACGTCTTTTGTTGGATGACTGCTGTAATTTTGGGAAATTTATGCTGCAGGGGAAGAGTTCTAGGAGTCATCTCATAAATTAAATCTTTGGGAGGTGTTTTTCTAGTTTAAGTAGCAGATGCATTTGACTTCTCGAAGTTATGAGTTTTAATTCAAGTCGATCTTGAGTATTGATCAGTTTTCAGTGAATATCTCGGAATCTAAGGCAGATAGCGAAAATTTCGGCATGATCATTTTTGTAGAGCGGATCGAGGGCTACAAAAAAGGTTATTACGAAAATGTCGATATTTCCATTAGATTCGGAGATATTCATATTCTATTTTACCGCTTCGTTGCTGAATTCAATTCAAGATCGAGTGGGAATTCGATTAGATGAATTCCCTCCTGAATTTCAATTTCCATTGTGAAAATTGAACACTACATCCAATACATCAATGGATAACTAGAATCTTCTATAATTTTCATTATTGCATCGACTTGAAAGTGAAATTTCCTTGAATATTCAAGAAGTTAACAAACAACGTTAATAAAAAATATGGAACCACTCAATTGCCGTCAACAAGACTTCTCAACTATTAACGAACGTCTCTCCCTACCATCAACTAAACCTCGTTTACCCCCGAAATTTCGAGATAAACTTGAAAAAAAACTAATAAATAACCAACAGGACTCTACATTTAAAAAAATACAGCCGCATTTATCACAGCTCTCGAAATCCACGCACAGTACAGAGCAGGAGCCCGAGTCGTTTATCGATCCGAGGCCGCAGTACAGTCTACTCTACATACTATTCGCTAAATCGACAAAGCCACCCCGGTAATCCCTCACCGAGCTATCCTCCCAACTCCAATTACGTCCGCACATCAACACCGGCTCAATACCCGAATAATCCAAGTTATTGCCCCCAAATAATTACGACCGTCGTAATTACCAAGGGAAAATCCCCCAAATCGATAGAAAATTCGCCGAAGAAAATTTTCCCAACAGCTCAGATTAGATCAGCCCCCCCCCCCCCTTCCCCCGCCCACTGTGACTCTAACATTTGCAGTTTAAAGTATTTTCAGGAAGTGTGAAAGTTCGATAGGATCTTTCGACGTTGGCCAGGTGGTCATGGCGACACATCATGAAAATCGCGCGGCAGTGAGCGATCAATACCCTGTGCGCCCTTCCCCCACTACTCTATCCTCGTCTCAATCCCTCGCGAGGCATTAGCAGAAGGGAAACCCCTCTCATACGCCCCTTTCCACGCACGACAGGAGCAGCCACACACGCTCTCGCGTACACCGAATGACGTCCATGCCGGTTTAGTCACACTAATACACGTACACTCAGGCATCTGTACAGGCAATTTATGTGTGTGAGAGGCTGACTGCACGTGAATTGAGCGCATATTGCTGTCCCGTGTGCTCCCCCAACAACAGCAAAAGGAGCACGTGCTCCACAAAACGAGGTGTGAGAGGAGGAATAAATTGGAGATGCTAATGCAACAATCTTACCTTTTAATCACAGCTCACTCCAATTCACCGGCTAAAAAGTGAATCGGAGTTATGACTTTGGTTCTATATTTATTACACAACTGCTGGCCCTTATTCAAACTGCGTTGACTCCTCAATCTTCGGGTGATCGTTGATTATTTTAAAGACGCGAAATATCACCCTTGAATATTAACGACGCGGGCGCTAACTCTACGACTATCACGTCCTCTCTCTCTCTCTCTTTCACCGCCGCCCGAAACGAAAGGAAAAAATCAATAAAAGTGAACTACGGTGCCAGCGGTAAATCAGCATTTATACGTAGACGCGCACATATATCACAGTGATAAATAATTTGTAGTTGTTTCAATCACTTTGTCAGTTGAATTGGTTTACTTGGAGGTGTAATGTACCGGCTAGTCAATGAAAATGGAAACTAAAGACGCCCGTCATCTGGCTCCGTACTCCATTCTGCTGTTGCATCGGTGCAGTTTATCAGTTCTTTATTCTTTGTTATTGTACTCGGTCGAGGGATATCGGCGACACTTATTTTTCTCGACTATGGGTATGGGGCCGGCAGTGTGACACGCGCGTGACACCCGTGTTGAAATAAAGAATGGTAACTAGACTAAGGAAACAAAGAAACAACGTTACGGGCGGAGGCTGCCTAGAGACTGAACACAACGATATGAGACTTTTCGCACAGCGTCGAGCCTCATGTCTTCCCCTTTTTTCCCCTCCGCGGAGCGATGCCAACCCCTCCGGAGGCCCGGTGCTACGTTTACGGCGTTCGGGTTATTTCGGCGGCACTCGGCCCTCAACTCCCCTTCCACTATTACAATTTGTGTAG